TATATATATATATATATATATATATATATATATAATTTTTTTTTACATTTAGAACAGCCCAAGCATACCTATATACATATAGAATGCTGCACCAAACTAATTCGTAGGAGGGAAAATGTCAATAAACCAACTCCATAGCAGTTTCTAAGTGATCAAGGGCTTAGGACGTTCCGATTCAGCCCATTCCAAGGGTACCGCCAGTATGTGTACTCATGAAATGTAATCAATGGCCTACATCCAAGTAAACGAGACGGAGGGAAGTTAGCGAGTGAAGGGCATAAAAAAATGGACTGGAACGCAGCCATAGACTTTGACATAGACATTGTTCAAAAGACCCAGCAGAGGTTGTACTTCCTTCACCAGCTGAGGAAATTCAACCTGCCAGCTGCTGAAACAGTTCTACTCAGCCATCGAGTTCCTTCTGTGTTCATAACTGCCTGGTTTGGTTCAGCTACCAAGTGGCAACCACAAAAATGTCAATTTAACTGATGATTCCAGCTGTATTTTTTTTAGAGAACTGAAACCGTGCATGCGTGTTGCGCTAATTCTCAGTAACCAAAAAAATCTCACAGCTGGGATGTGAGCTGGTGTTTTTTTAAAACATTTTTATAAGAAAGGTTTCACATCTACTTTTAGCAACTCACAAGTGATAGAATTTTTTATAAATGCATCTGCAAAATCAGATGTAGAAGGTGTCAAGTGTGACGTTTTGCTATCGAGATTAGCACAACCTCTTCAGTTCTCTAGAAATTCACATGCAAGTAAATAACATGATGGAAATAAAATGTTTATCGGAAAACTAAATTATTTTAAGAATATGTTGAATATATGTAATAATAAAAGAAAATACATCTTATTATAGGCATCTTATTGCCCACTTTATGTTTTAGAGCTGGAGCCTGGCCTGGCTGAGAAACATATGGAAGCCCGTTTCTGCCATGTAAGAAAAATAAATCATGCGTTGGTAAGTTACAGTTATGACTTTAAATGTGATAGTTATTACATACTAAGTTGTGATTATGGCTTTAAAATTCAAAATTGTAACATAAAATGTTGAAATTATGCCATACTAAGTCATAGGCGGAGGGTGAACCAACTCCAGAGTAAGGCTATTTTTACTTAGTATGCCATTATTTTGACTTTAAATCTCATGGTTATGTCATAATTGCAATTTTGAAATTAATAATTTTGACTTTTTGTGTCATAATTATGTCATAATTTTGTTTACCAATGAATTTTTTTTATGTGGCGGAAATAGGC